ACAATGTAGGGGCGTAGCGTGCTTTGGCGGGGACCCGTATCAATTTTTTTTTGGGTATCAAAATTGCAGCTGTAGTTTTTCAAACATACAAATCAAGTCAAATCTTTGTTTAATTTGAGAAATTGATATATTTAATCAGCAATAGTAGACGTTGACTTTGAACTAAGATTACGGGTCGTTATATTTTGCCTTTTGTTTTTAAAACAGTCAATACGATCTATTGCTAAATATTTGGAGTCATTTAGATAACTATTGACTTCGTTTTGATTTCTTAATTCGCACAATCTATTCAAAAAATGACTTAATAAAATATCTGTATGCTGTAGAGCTTCAGAAACGTGATTAATAATTTAAAATACATAAAGGAAATGTAGAAAGCATTCACAACCCTTTAAAATGTTACGCCTCACAACACAAAGTGTATTCCCAAAAATTTTCGTTCTCCTGCGTTAGATATATTTCTCATACGACTTGGTTCTTTTACTATGAGCTCAGATGTTTTTGAAATTGAACAATATAACTATTATATTACGAGACATGATCGATTCGAATGACGACGATGTCGAGGTGATCGCACGTCGACCGTCCTGCCCTGCTGAGCCTTGCCCAGTCTGCACGGATCGAGTTTTATTCATAACAATCGTAATTAGTTTCCTGTCGATCTCCAAGTCTAACCTGGTCCCCTACATCAGGACACACGATATATATATATATATATATATATATATATATATATAAAATCCAATGTTATGAACGGAAGTCGTAAAATGTTTTAGTTGTCAGTTGATTTTCAAAAAATCAAGAATCGATCGAACGGAGGATTTACCGCTTTGCTAATTTCTACCGGTGCGACAATAAAATTTTGATTTATGGCTTATTGATATCCAGTTGATATCGTCGTATTGCAAATTATTCGTTTGTGCGGTAAAAACAGAAATGGAAAATAGGTTGTGTTATAGTTGAAATGCATATAAAGTAATCGTGTTAGAGATGTTGTAAACAAAAATTTCGCTATTTTGTCTAATCGTAAGAAGATTTCTAATATTTGCCAGTACAAAGTAGAAATTTGTATTTTCTTACGTTGCTAAAATAGGTTTGTCGGTGTTTCATGAAACGTGCTTCTAGAAATCCTAATCTAGTGTCTTAAAGCAAATGATTGCTAAGAAAAGTAGCAAATAAACTTTTCTACTTATTTGATTTATTTCTATGCAATTTTTGAAAGGTCGTATAAAAAGGCAAACAATATTTTTAGTATAGTTTTTTTTACAAGTTGTTAATTAATGTTTTAAGAATATAAAACAGATAAAAATTAAAAATAGTCATAAAATTTTAATTCTAGAAGGTGGTGAAGTGGGGATTTTAAAAAATTGGCACTTGACAATATTCATCATTTAAGACCACCAAATAATATGAACCTGATCTGAAAAAATATTTATATGTTATTAATTTAGAATAACTACGGGTCAGCTAATAAAATGTTTTTTCACAAAATAGCGACTGCTTGAAAGAAAATTATTTTTCTTACAACTTTTTTTTATGTTCTAAGATTTTTTAATAATGGTAAAAATCAGGATTTGGGGATGAAGTTCATGCTGGTGAGATTGAATCTATAAAAAAGACACTGTAAAAAAAATCAAGTGAATCGGTCTAGTAGAATCCAGGAGAAATCGTGGGTATTTTATTGAAAAAGATAGTTTCGAGAAATACACGTTTAAAGTTTTGCTGATAAGAAAATAGAGAAGGATTATCGTGATCAAACAGCTATATTTCCGAAAATTAAATTTTGATCAATTCTCTTGTACACATATTCTTGAACAGTTAAACTCTGAAAATATGCGAATAAAAAAAAATCTTTACTTTACTTTTACTTATTTACTTTTTTTATTTATTTTAGAAAATTAAATTCTAGACCAGTATATCACTTTAAATCATCTTTTTTATTATTTCCATTTTAAACAAAATAAATTCGCCATTAATTTGTTAATAAAATAATTTAGTTATTTGTGAAGATTTTTTTGCTATTATGAATTTTGTAGGAAAGTATTTAAACCCAAAACGAAATGTCTAGCTGTTGTAAGTCTGCTATTCAATCTGAAATCTGCCAAAGTTTTCTGTTTGTACTGTCGACATTGATACGATTTGGTTAGAAGTTGAAGGTCTACAAGAAAAATAAATTTGATCTGAAATATATATAGTAGGTATTTGTATCGTGTATATATATAGGGTCCGAGTGGATCGTCCGCGAGCGTAAGCGTTCGTCGTCGTCGTCGGCGGCCATAATTCACGGCATCCTGAAGGGCCGCTTCGTATCCGGTCTTCTTTGTGGGGCGCGATACAACGGAAGCGGACGCAACGCGGCCGAGTCGAGTCGTGTCGAGTCGAGTCGAGCTGAGAACGCTCTCCTCAGGAACCATGTTGTTCTTCTTATTACGTAACAATGACGACCATGTTGATGTCACCAAAAATCATCGCATCGCATTTCATACGTACAATCTGGCAAAAGTACCATCTTATTCAGTTCCCGAAGGAGAAGTTCACCAGAATCGATTTTCTAATTTTACGTCTTCTCGACGTTTTCTAATTAATCGAATGAGAATAAATTGGAAAAGGTATGCACGTGTATGTGTATGAACGAAATTTCACTTTTCGTCGACGCTTTCTCATACACTTTTTTTTACTCATTTATTTTCAGTACGAAATTAACAAGTATTATATTTTGCAATCGTGACTAAATGCACAAACTTTAATGGAACTTGCCAAAACACTACATCCATATTGATCATACCTTTCAATGTGGTGAAAATGTGAAACTTTGAGTTCATAGTTTAACACATAGTCAATTCTAGAAAACTTAGGGCTATTGTGACATTATTTTTAACTGTGGTCTTAGAAGTGATGGTACGATTTCAAACAAAACTTATATAAATATTAAAAAAATAACTGAAAAATGGTGACAATTTGACCAAAGCTCTAGATTATACTTAAAAGCTCATAACTTTCAAACTGCATCTTATAATATCTTTTTTACTATATTTTCACCTCCGCCTAACGTTGATTTCTGAAACACCCTATATCGTAAATAATTAATATTATTAATAATAATATTATTAGTAAAAAATAATATTATTAATAATATTAATATTAATAATAATTTTTTAATAAAATACAATCGATAAGCTTTGCGATAACGTTTGATATAACGTTTTTTTTTTGAAGAACATATAATTAAAGAAGAATTACAGTTGTACATATAAATTTGAACATTTATAAAATTTTCTGAAAGTTAAAAATAATTCTCGATTAAAAAGTCTTGCATTATTTAAAATGGGAATTATCCCTGAATTGCGTAAAAAGTTATTTAGATCGCAAGTTTTAACCTGCCATTTAAAAAAGTATAAAAAATCATTTATCAAAGAAGAAAATGGTACTTGTTTATAGACAGACATTTTTCACTTCATCTGCTAATGATAGTAGGTATGTATATATATATACAACAATCATCGTAATCATAGTATATTGGATTGTGCCTTATCACATTTGTCAGGATATAACATATGCACATTTGACGTTAAAATAAATCAAAATAGACTGCGGTATATTAGTCTTTATGACTACGGGCATGTAATAGTTGAAAGCGTAGCATTAAGTAGGTGTACCGGGGTCGTAACTCAACGGCACAGAACGTCCCATTACGATTACGGGGCATCACGCAGGGACGCAGGGTCAACCGGCCATCAGTGCAACATATTATACAGATGATTATGTAAAAATAAATATCATAAAAAATTACAAAGTATTCGTTTAATAATTGCCTTAGTTTTTTTATTGTTAAAAAAATTAACGCAAAAATCTTAAGTCGATATGAAATTTGATTAACAATTCGCTGTGTCCTTTCTTCAACGATGTACAAAGATATGTAGAATTACTATTAATATTGATACTTACATATCAAAATTTCATTGGGATAATTATTAACCAAAGGATTAAAACTATTACAAGGTGAATTTGAATGTGAACAAACTTGAATAAAAATGAATTTGTATTTATGAATGAATTGAATTTATGAATTTATGAACATATAAACAACCCATTCCAGTGAAAAGAATTGAGATTTAGCAACTTTCTAAATTGTATAGAACTTTACCTTAAAATGAATGAGTTTTTTTGTAAAGATTTCATTGATTGATTGAATTTTTATTTTTAATCCTTTAAACCACAAAACTTTATCACTATGCAAAATTTTCATTAAAATGTTCAATAGTCTTTCACTTATTTGCTAATTTTAAAGAAATTTAATTTAATTTGGCTGTGCTAATCATCATAAAATTAGCTTCATGAAATAGCGTTTGAGTTTTTGATGCAGCGTTTTTGGGTAATTCGATAATTTACAATTTTACAACAAATAGTTGATTTTCCATTCGTTACATAAATTATAACAATATTCTAATGAATATAATATAATACTAAAATGTATTTTTTAATTAATAAAATTAAGATGTTAATTAGCTCTGATCAAAAATTAACGTTGAAATAGCAATTTTTTTCAACTTTCTATAGTAGTTCCTGTTAGTCGAATATGACTGGAATATTTATGTCTACTATTATATGTTCGTGTACTATTATTATAAGCACGTACTATTAAGAGCTAATTTACTATTATTTACGTGTATGTTATATAGCTATATAATCTTCTATCATCATAATTTTGTTACTAGCATTGCTATATACACTAAGAATATTAAAACATAAAATGTAAAATTCTCTACTATTATGCAGGCGCATATACTATTTTCATAATCCATTTACGGCGATTTGTTCGGTTTGGTCAATCACTTTCATTATACAGACATTACATAGAGAAGATCGCGACCAGTCGAGATAAATTTGATATTAACCATTAAGATACAGCAACGATAAATTACAGGGGTATTTAGCTCCCATAAAGCATCTAAGTGACGCGCAAATTACAATATAACAGCTTACTGTGATTAAGATATCGTATGCGAGGTCGTGCCGACAACGAAACGAAAACAGAGATTACAGCCTTATACATAGCATTACAGCCGCCGCCGATTTACAATTGGGACGGACCAGGACGGACCGGGACGAACGGAACATCATCGAGATTTATATTCAGAGACGATCAGGAACGGTCGCCTTTACAAAACTCATTGCCAACTTACAAAAACTTCATTAGGCGCGACACGGCTGTAAATCCGTACAAATGCAATGAAAACGCCAACGTGAAGTTGAAGACTACGACGCTGTAAGTGCAGCAATCGCAATTATTCGATCTAGTCTGCGAGCAAAAAAAAAATACATCAAATGTCAAATCATATGTCAAAAAACAAAAAAAATGTGTCGACTTTCACTTGAGTTTGTATTTAGCTCGTAGTCTCTAAACATTTTTTGAAGTAAAACTTCTTTAGGTGCGACATGGATTAGGTTGGATAAAATAATCAGGTTGGATGTCAAACTTGTCGAAAATATTAAATTCGGGTAAAATTCCCACTTTGTGTAAGTTTAACGGGTTGTATTTCCACCTATACCAAATTATCTACCTAACTAGATACTGTATCTGAAAGGTTAATTTCACCTAGGTGTGTTTCATGCAAATTGGACGATTGCGACATGCAAATGGACAATTTGGAATGTTTGGCAAATTATAAATGTGGCTGTTGACATTAATAATATGGTTAATTTATTACTTCGTAATATTGATGAGATCATAGCATTAACGTTCACATAAAAAAGCAAATGATTCATAGATCAAGCTATGTGCAGGGCTTGATAAATAAAACAAATATAAAGTATGGCTTCAATTTGTTAGGCAAGAAGGATATTACAGCTGTTCAAGGAATGAGATTATATCGCCACGAAAAAGTAAAAAAATACAAACAGTAAATGAATGTGTGTTAATTTTAATTACATGAAGTTCTTCAACACAATTGTTACAGGATGAATTATTTGCAAAAACAATATTTGTTTTGGCG